CTTTTGATCCGGCGAACGTGATAAATTCTTAAAGGCGGAAGAAAACTTTCTATCGCCTTTTCTACGTAAGAATCCTACCCACCTGAAATAACGTATTTAACGTAACAAAAATGTAACGAATGTAGCCCATCAGATATAGGAACACAGATATACTCACCTAGTGTCCGGTTCGTTTTCACCCCTGCAATTGTTTCCTATAGATTTTATAGTGTCCGCCATTTGCCTTGCGGGATTTTGAAAGCAATGATTATAAAATCCCTTAACGCCATCTCTGATCATAGCAATCCTATCTGTATTTTTCTGGCCGTCCGATTCGTTCCATTGCGCATACACGTTTGTGCTACATAAACATTTCAGTAATTGCTGAACACATTGGACAGTCGCGGTTGGCGAGAGTACGACTGTACTTTGCAGATAATATAAAACCTCTTCCGTGATCTGAGCTGCCTCGTTAAACGATATAATTTCGAGAATCTGAGACAGCACATCCAGAACCGCGTTTAAAAGGGACAAATACATTTCGCTGGCGTGCGGTTCGAGGGTTGCTAAGTAATTTAAATGCGCCGCTTTGAGAATGTCGTACATTTTCATGTAATGCGGTACTGAAACAAACGCACCCATATGTTCTTTTCCAACTTTCAAGCCACCAATTCGTTCTCCCTTCTCCTTCGATTTCTGTTCAGGCACAACTTTTTTCTTCGGGGATAATGCTTGCGTAGACGTCAAAGACGACAATGTCGTTTTTGCACTCGGTTGCGCCAACTGTACTTTGTCGATAATATGAACAAATATATTCAACACTCTGGTGACATGAGTCAATAACAGCTCTATTTGCTTGTCTTTAAACGTACCCCAACTTTTAGACGGGTCGTTGGGTTTGAAATTGCCGAAAGCCAAACCTGATGCTAAATTGCCAGCTAGTAGAATCAAGTGTTTATGCGTCGACAAGTCTAGGCTTATAGGAGATGACGATAGCAGAGGTAAAGCTAAAGATAAAAGATCGTTACTAACAGACGACGGCATCATGTCGCTTGTAAAGTTTGATTCGCTAATGTCTAGCCGGCTACTGCTCTTTTTATGAGACTTTTTCAACAATGTCTTTGGTAAAATGCAATCCCATCCTCTGATATATATCGTAGTGGTATATACGTCGCTTAAATGGAAAAGAGCTTCGCAACAACCGTACACTAAATATTTCGAGGATTGTACTCCAAGAACTTCTGCCAGCATATTGACTACAATAGACAACGAGTATTCTACATTCTGATGACAGTGTATCCCGTTATGAGGATTTAAAGATGCAAATGGCTGTATAGACGTTTTCACGAATAGCTGTTGTTTCTCTTGGCACGAGGATAATTCTGAACTGCTTCTATTTACAACGCTTAAAAACTGTTCCGTGTATTGAACGGCTTTTCTCGTAACAACATCCTCTTGTGGTTGTTGAAAGTGTAATAGAGGAATACTCCTAAAAAAAGTGTATCTATGTTAATAAAAAGATACAAAACTTAATAATGGAACAACATAAATTACACTGTAATGCTTACTTTACAATAGCATCCGACGCTGCATGTCTAATTCTCTGGTCCTGATCACCTAATAGCGTTATGATAACATTGACGAAATGTTCTTGGAACATTGATCCTCCAACTATATGTTCTATGGTAACATATGATATCTCGCTCAATAGTTCTACTAATTTAACTTTTACCAAAAAATATGGATTCTTTACTAGTTGAGGTAACGCAGTTAATATAGTAACTCCATACTTATTGTCGACGGATTCCAACAACTCTGGCAGACACAAACTAAGCGCTGTTAACGTTTGTCGACATGTTGTAGCAGAATCATCTTCTAATCCCTATTTTAAGAATGTATGAATCAAAATTCTTTAAACGACAATACGATATTTTTACATTCACAAAAACTCCAATGCAAGTGTTTACCTTTAAAAGTAATTTTATCAAATTCTCTAATAACACACTTTCATGTACATTCTTTTTTACGATCTCTGCTTCGAAGTTTTTAAAAGATCCACCATATTGAGTATACACGGATTTTAAAAAGGTACCGATAATGATCGATATATTACCCCTAATCTGAGGATCTGGATGATTTGCAAACAATAATATATCTGTTATCATTTGTTCGTTTTCGGTAAAATTCGATTCTTTGGCGATTGGCATTAAAAACATGTTCGGAAAAAGTTTTAAAATATAAGCCACGCAGTTTAGAGCAAGAGATTTTACACTAACACGAAAATATTTATCTGGCATTACGTGACCAACATTGCCAGTTAAGAGAAAAGACGACACCAAATAACGACAGCAAAATTTTAGAGGTATGTCAGGATCTGTAACAGTTCCAATGTCTATTTCCCGCAATGAGAAGTCTAAAGAAAGCTTTTTAGGAGAAGCAATAGACGAAGCGACTTCTTCGAAACAATCTAAATCCTTTATAGCGCTTTGTAAACTCGGATAAATTTTCTCTGATTTTTCTATTTCACTTCCAATGTCGCTACCCTCTTCTACAGCTTCATCTGAAATAGATATACCCATAAATGGGTACCCTTCGTAAAATAAAAATATCCTTCATATTATACGCTTTCTCTTACTGTCGATATCTCCGATCTTCAGACCGCTATAATTTTCCATTATCTTTCCTTTCATTTCTATTATATCGCTCGAATCCTCCTTTCGAGTTTGTAAATCCTGCACTAATGAGTGCGCATCCGCGGAATCTAATATCCATTTTTCTATTTTTGGATTTATGTCCGGCATATCAGGTTCGAGTAAATTTAATGTAGATTCCGAATTTTCACAGCAAGCAGTATTAGTACTAGAGATACTCGTTTGGCTCAACGATAACATTGCTTCATTTTGATTTAATGCTACCCTATTATACGTTGTACCTTTATTCGATAACAACAAACATACTAGAGCTTTCGGAGGTGACTTTAAAAGTTGAGTCAAAGTTTCCAAAGCAGCATTTATAACATTATGATCCGAATGCCATTTTGTATAATGTAAACATAATTCGTAAATTTGTAACAAGCTATCTATCTGCACTGTCTCGTCGTCTTGAGGTTCTAAAGGATTGCATACGTAGGGCAATATTATTCTTATGCATCCAAATATACCGATAATCGTAGCTACACGGCTCTCATCTTCGCCTATAGGTACTATAATATCTGTGAGAAGGTAACATTCAATTGTTAATTGTGTCATACTTATACACATAATATCTAAAGAATATTTACCTAAAAGATGTTTCAATACATAATTTAAAAAGAATTGCGGCTTTCTGCAATTTAGACATGTTGTTAAAATCATGTTTGCAGCAGCCCTGCGAAATGCTGCTTGTACTGAACATACATTTTCGAAGAATGCTTTCAACAAGGTCTAAAAAATATAAACACATGCAAGTTCATAACTGTCGCATGGTAAACAGTCTGTTTTATAAATTACCTTGACATCATTGTCTGTCATAAATGGCCCTAAAGCTTTCATAATTAGTGGTAACGATTGAGATAACGTTTCTATTACTGCTTCTTCTGAACGTTGTGCAATAGTTTCTATGCATGGTATTAAATTAGATACGTAAGCTTTTCCTCTTGTAGGACGAATCATATGACTAAGAAGTCCAAATCTCCACAGAGCTGCCCTCAATGTTCTAGCTGGTCCGTTTGCTTTTATTTCATTATAAAGTTCTATCTGAACCTTAACAATATTACTGTCTGTCATGGCCTAGCAAATAACGTGGCTATTAGATAAACATTAGTATTTTTACGATAAGTATTATTAAAATATATGTAACATACCCTTATAATCTTATTCAAAGTTTCATCGGCTACCATTCTAATATCAGATTCGTTATCATTGCACAGCATTAACAATGTTTCGATGGAAAGAGTAAGAACCTGAGAAAACTTGCTTGCCATTTTTACATTCGGTGAACATATTCCTTCCGCTATTGCCACACAACATGCTATTTTATCTTTCCTTTAAATTGAAATAAATTTTTCGTGAATTCTATGTTAAATTAAACAAGAAAAAAAAATTAATTCGCGTACCTTGCGCTAGGATCTGACGGAACAACGTTCGATTCTTGAGTTGTATTCAGAGCCTCTATGGCTTTTAATACGTTATTTAAAGTTGTCATTTTTGCGAAAATATATTATCGGTCACGACGTTTCTCACTCTCTAAAAATTAAATTTTTAACGAGTGACATTTTGATAATGTAGGCCGAATTTATGACAGACATTTCGTACGTGTAAGCTACATGCTGCTCGGTACCATATTTATTTGTGATTCAAACGTCAGATTGAAAGGTATTTACTCACAGCAGCTTCTTTAATTATACAAAAGAACGGGGCATAAGAAAATTGGTAAATCGGATGTTTAATGCGTATTCGCCGTTATCCCTTCAAGAAATAACCGCTATTTAAATACTAATCGCAAGGGTAAAATTGATAAAATGTACGAACTAAATTATTTCTTTACCAAAAAATATCTCGGTACTAATCTACTAATCTTTATAATTTCGCCAATTTATCGAGGGAATGAGAGAGAGAGAGAGAGAGAGAGAGAGAGAGAGAGAGAGAGATTTATATTAAATTTATTTGTGTGATGTAATCGGAAATGCATAATCAGACGTTCTAAGACAATGAACGAAGTGTAGCATATATAATAAATTAGTGAATGCTAAAATAAGTGCATGCAGACAATTACATTCGTACTTTATATTTTCAAAACTACAGATCTAGTTAACGTTATAGGATCGATATCATTGAAAATGACACATAATAATTGAAAAGCGATCATTAAAAAATGAGAAAAAATAATTAAATAATTGAAATAAGTATAGTATCGAGAATAAGTTCAATGAAAAGTACAATAACGGAATATAAAAGTTAACCTATACGATCGGCCATGGAGGCGGCCATATTGCGTTGCGATACCTCGATTCCGTAGAGAACTCGAAGTTTATTTCGATATCCGTATGCCATTGTCAGTGCTAACGTAGATGTGCGATTTGTATGATCGAATTTCAATTTATTTTCATCCTGTGGGTAAATTCCATGAATTTATAACGTTATCAATCGAACGTGGTTAACGACTGATATATCAGCAGATTCAAAAGTTTCTTCTCGTAACAATGGACTCGGAATAAAGCCGATGGCTGAGAGGTGAGCGAGTTTCGGCTTCTTTCACGCTGTACGCTGCCGATAGGAGGATCACAGTGTGCGAAAGAAATTGTTTTCCTTCGTCAACAATTGAACAAAGTATTCGAAAAGCGTTTCAAATTATTCGACGATAATACACGCACCTTATAACATAACGCACCGGCTGAACATTACGGTTTTTACGATGTTTAGCATACGATCCGTTGATTTGTTTCAATCGCTTTTTGACTTAAGATCTGCAGTCTCGGCACAGAAACAAAGGTTGGATTTACTCGATGAAGTATTATTAAACATATTCTTATTTTTGTACAGAATTCGAAGCATGAATAGTCTTTATTCGCGTCATGTGTATTGTGTTAGTTTTATTTTAAAAGCATAAATTGTACAGTATTATCGATTACATTGTACCATTGTCGAAGATGTAATAACGTTCTTTATTCTTCTTATTAATTTACAGACTGTTCAATAGCTTTTGGATGTCTAAATATGCCAGGCTGTGCAGCAGTTGGCTGCAACAATCGTAGTGAAAAAGGTTATATTATGAAATGTTTTCCACGTGACCCAAAGTTGAGGAAAATTTGGCAAGAACGCGTGGCTAGAGCCGACTGGGAACCATCTAACAATTCATTCCTTTGTCATGTACATTTCGAGCCTCAGGAATGGTCCATAACGCAAAGTGGAAGAATTAGGTTAAGAAAAAACGCTATCCCTTCTATATTTACGATAACATCTACAAGAAAGTCTCCCAAGAAAAGGACTAGGATAATTGGTATCAAAGAAGAAAATTCATCTCAAAACGAATACAGCACCGAATATGTGGAAAATAGTACTAAACATTCATCCACGGAACATTTAGAAGAAAAGGACTCGGATTTTCAAGATCTTTGCGAACCATTCATTCAGTTTGTTGGAAATAAGTTTAGATATGTTCGTAAGTACGTAGGAGAAGACGACGAGAAAGAAAGCGTTAATTCCGATCTTCAAGAAGAAAGTATTATTATGATTGCCGAGGATAATGTCATAGACATTAGCAGCTCTGCGAAATATGATAATCTTGAAGCACGATTGAATAATAGTAAGAAAGAAACTGGATTATCTTTAATGATCGATAATCCGGAAGCTATATTATCAAGTGCCATTGTGAAAGAAGAAATTAAACTAGAAGTTATGGATCATAATGCATTTGAGGATAGTTACGATGAAATTGAGGAGAAGCTGAAACAGATTTGCGATGGTGGGTCTACAGAAGATGAAAGTTATAATAACGAAGGGAGAAGAAAGTTGACAATTAAAAGTCGCAAGCAAGGTGTACAAATGATAGATAGAAATGGTGATATTAATAATGGTAAATGTAAAGTTGCTCTTTCTGTTAATACAAATCATAATTTTCCGGGAAGAAATGAATTTGGACATACGCTTATGGACAAAGAAGAAAATGTTGAAATAATTTTTGGTATAGAAAGCGGAGATGAAAAGATATCTGTAGCTCAAATTACATCAAAAATTAATAAAGTAGACGATAATGCCTTGAGATACGACGAAATAATATCTATTAAAGATGAAAAAAAGATTTTTAACGAAGATATAGAAGAAAATTTTACTAAAGATGAAGTACATGTTATACCAAATATAAGAGCAGCTATGAAACGTAAAAGAAGAACCAGAGAAGAAATAATGAAGTCGATAAAAAAGTCGATTAGAAGCACCTCTGATCAAGATGTTAATTCGTCGACTAATAACGACTTGTCGGATAGTATAGAGCAAGAAACGACGATAAAAGATGAGTTGTCAATGTTTTCACGAGAGATGAGCGATATTAATAAAAGAAATAATTCAAAAATGGAAGTAGCGAAGTTTGTAATAAAAGTAACCGGTGATCCCGATGATGTGACCGAAATTATCGAAGAGTTATCAACTAATACGATAGAAACACAAGTATCTCAAAAATTTACCCCTGTTTGCAAGAATGAAGAAAATAATGCGTTCATTACGTCTGTTATAACAGTACTGTCACCTAAAAACCAGAGAGAAATAACTTACAGCGATTTTAGTAGTCCATTAACAAGAGATGACTACGCAACTTCCACAAAGAAAGATTTATATTGTTCTCCTTCTAAGGATAGAGAATTTGTAAATTTAGATTTCACTCATAATTCGAAAAACTGTCGCTCTTCGTCTCTTCGGCGTACTTGCTCCGACGAAGAGAACAAAAATCAGACAAAGACTAATTCTGTATTACAGAATAGTATGTACACTGCTCAAACTACCATAGAAAATAATACTAAATGTTCTGTTTCACCTGATTACGAGGATCTACTGGAGAGAATACAAATTCAAGAAGATGTAATTGGAAAATTAACCGATCAGTTGATTATTTATAAAGAGTTGGAAAACAGTTTGAGAAATAAAGATGTTGGCCACGACGTACAAATCAGAGAAGTAGAAACAACTCCAAAAATTTATACAAGATCGAATAATTCACAAGCTTTAGCTGTTACAAAAAAGATATTGGAATCTAAACAAAGGTTAATAGAAGATTTATCGAATAGGGTGAATTATTTTGAAGAAATGAATAAGAAATTAATGAAAACTGTCACATTGGAGTCACAGCAGAAGAGGAAACTCGAAGGACAAATTAAGCAAAAGGATAATCGAATTAAGGAACTCAACTGGAAATTGGAGAAGGCTTCCAAATACCTAGAAAGGGCTGAGAAAAACACAAACACATACAGAAGGAAAATGTTAAATATGCAAACTATTATGAGGAGGAGAAAACTTTTAGACGAAAAAATGAACAAATTCAATGAAATATTAATCGATAATTCCAGACAAGAGTTTTCAGAGAAGGCTTTAGCTATGGCAGCAGATATTAGAAAAACTTGTGGAAGAAACGGATACGATAAGTTACTTTCTTACGGGATTCCATTACCACCGTTACCAGCTTTGTGTAAAGGAGTTTTCAAAGAAGATTACACAGATAATAATAAAAGTGATACAGATAAAGTGCAAAATTCTACTTCAAAATTAAATATCAAAACAGAAAAGATGCAAGATACAAATAACGAATCTGAAACGGATGAAAAAGATTCGGAGCTACCTGACGCGATTGCTAAAACATGCGAATACGATGGCGCGGAAACCGTAACAGGAACTGTGCAAGACATTTTCGATGAAAACAATGATGGTGATGATTTTAGTACAAATGAATTAAGAGAACATTTCATTCTGCAGTTGAATGCAGTTATGTAGCCACGGTTCTATAGTTTAGAGCCCTTTCTTTTTTACCACATTCAAACTAGGAAATGTAATATTAAAATCGTAAATGCTTAGACAGGTTTCCTTCTGTATCATTGTACAATATCCATTGTGCACTTACAATTATATTTATTGTATAATACCATTTCACGCTCTCACTTCCGATGTAAATATATGTATAAACATTATTATGTGTAATATAAAAGACCATTTTAATCAGCGAATTACAGCATTAAATCGTTATTCGCATATGTTTTAATACATAATTATCTATCACAATAGATCTGATGTTTCTTCTGCATTAATAAGATTTATCTTTTACTAAGGAAAACAAGTCTGCTACAAATTTAAATCAAAATAGTTTTCACCAGATGTCTGTTTCTTTTTTAAATTGTTAATTAATTATTATCAGTAACATTACGGTATAATGTGTTTAAAAGATTATAAAAGAATTGATTGATAGTGTAGTAATTCTATATAATTATTTAATTATATACATATGTATTTACTTAATACAGTTTTGATCGATATAGTTACAATGCAGTGGCAGACTTGTTATTATTGACTTTTTTTTTCTCCTTTGATTTTCCATCTTTAGATCCCACTACCTTATCACATTCACACCAAGGTGTACCCGACTTATCGCACATTAGAGAAATATTAAGGACGGTTAATGGTGTGTCCCCAATAGTCATTGCAATGGTACCTACTATTTTATAAGAAACATTATTTAAGCCGGTCTGACGATCTCGTTTTCGAGTAATTTCTCGTTGATTGTAACATTTGATCATATCTCGTTTTCTATGACTCCTGTCATGCGTATGTCTGAAATTCATGAAAATTCAATGAATATCTACATTAGTAGCTAATACATCACAAATACAATTTTTTCTCACTTGAATGTATTATGGGTTCCAGTAGATACATTTTGTGGTCTCGTAACGGTCAAACTTGCTTCTTTCAATCTAACATAGAATTCATCGTCTTCAAGACCCCAACCCCAATATTTATTAGACATTCCATTTACTTGTATAAAATGTTCTCTGTGGAAATATATTCTTATTAATGCATTGGCAATAATAACATGTTACTAACATGCATTGCATAATAAGAACTTTGCGATAAAAACCTTTTAATAAGTAATATGCCCCCAACAAATGTCGGGTAGTGGTATCTAGGATGTAATTCTGGAGAAGATACATGGTAGGGCCCCTTGGCAGGAAAAGAGTATAATAATTCATCGTTTATAGGCAATAAATCTACATCGTGCATAGCTATGTAATCAAATTCTTTGTTAACTTCAAGGAAGCCTACGTTTATAAGAGAGGCTCTATTGAATCTAAACCTATCAACCTACGAAAACACAGAAGTACGATTATTAAATTTAAACAATTTCTTTGAATTTATCATTTGAATTTATTTGAAATGAAAATATACCTGGTTGAGTATGAATATATGATAATCTATATTTTGTTTATCTAAGAATTTCTTCATATGGGGAGCAAATATTAGTAGCTCTTCAAAACGATCTCTAAATGGCACAAGTATAGCTAACCGATGGGACAATTTTTTATAACTTTTATCATCGTTATCCTCCTGTTTATTCTTATTATTGTACTGATTTGACTGCGTAACTATTTCACATTCGCATTCATCTATAATTTTTAGTTTGGTGTAATTTTCAAACTTTCTGTAGATTGTATTTAGAGTATTTGAACAATTGTTATCTTACCTATACTTATAAGAGCAATATTTATCAAACACGCGATGATAAAATTAATTAAAATGCAAGCAAATATATATTTAACTTTTATACTCTTCCAAACAACTGCCATGCCTGATAACAGGTATGCGAGTAATATATCTCGAATTTGCAAATACTCGACTTATTCATTGAATGACAGTCTTGTTAAGGTTTATTTAAATATCTTATAGTTCCTTTCTTCTCGTTTCTGATCGATTTTGATGAATGAAATTAATGTAAAACTCATTGTATCGTCGTATGATTCCATTCGTGTATCCGTGATATTTCGCACGAAAATTCGAGAGTCGTGGAATAAGACACTTTGTTCTTACATATTCCTTTCAGACTGTTTCAGACTAATTCAAATATACACGTCGATCGATTCTTAACTAATAGTAAGGTTTTTCGTCTATCAAATATCCATCGGTCACTCGACCGAGAAGGATACGTTCTCTGCCCCAAATACACGTATCTTCTGATCGATTGTACGCATAATTCTGACATGCGTTAAGATTTAATTTATGCATTATTGGCGCGTAACGTTATTCGCTCGTAATGGTAATAGCCAATTTTATACCATTTCACTGACAAACTAAATTTTCACTTCAAGAAACGCTCTGTGCTCTTGACGGTTACGTTGCGATCACATAGCTGTAGCTAGTAGCTCCATTGCTTGCCATAAAACCTGATAAAACCTTTCTTGAAACTTGGAACACAGTGCCAATAAGAGACCTTATCGAACTAACAAAACTAATCCTCTAAATAGTATGGATAACGTGTGATAACGAATGGGTTGGATTTTATAGTGACACATGTGTGGGATTAATGGATTTATCCAGAAATAGCACCGCTCACTAAGCCGCTCAATGAGCGGATTTCAGTACCAGTATTATACGAATACAATAAGTATCAGCGATCTGTTTCATGGACCAATAAATGCTTTTGTAACTTACAAAAGCATTTATTATTACAAATTATAAGTTGCCCTCAGGGGCTGTAGCAGGAGTTTGTAGCTACAGTACGGGCTTAGCAAACCCGAGGTATCCGAGCTAGAGGGGGCCCAGTGGGGGGGCCCAAGAGATGAGAAGTAAAAGATACTGTTAACAGTATCTGCAGTATAATGCAGGGGTCATGTAAGACGATGATAAAAAGAATGGAAATAAGCTAGTAATAAGTAAGCAGTAGTGTGATAACTTTGTATAATAAGTTACGCGCATGAACGAAGGATTTTGTAAGCTTGGATCAGAACCCTTAAAATTTTGCACTAGTGACGCCATCGGTGGCAAAGTGGCCAAGTTTGTAGTGAAAATAGTTCCCACTATTCACGCTAGATGGCGGTAACCAATCTAATTTAATAAATTATTCTTTACTTTCCATAAATGCATAATTAACACGACTCTTTGCTTCATAATACTGTAATGTAATGTATTATTTAACATGTCAAGTTTGTCACTTTAATGAGTAAATAATAATTATCGATCGTTTAGTTAGTGGCGCCATCGGTGGGAAAACGCACAAGTTTATAATGAAAATAGTTCGCACTGTTGCCGCTAGATGACGTCACTAAGTAAATGAACCAATAATTATTGCTGTATAAAATACCTATTGATAAAAATGATAATTGAAATAATAATATATCGTAGTGCTGTAAAGCAAAGAATTATACCTAATAATCCATTTATGAAAAATGAATAATTTATTAAAATATAGCGCCATCTTGCAGAAACGTTAGGAACTATCTTCACTACAAACTTGGGCATTTTCTCACCGATGACGCCACTTAGTACTTCGTATATATAATATAGTACGTAAAATAGTATTTCACTATATTCGTATACAATTTTGCAACATTCAGCGACTTATTATACATTATATGTATAGGTGCCATGTGCACTCTGTCCACGTGGGTTTAGTATTGAAAGTTTAATGTGCCTTCGTATAACCTGTAGTGTAAAATGGATAGTAATTGCGATTTAATTAAAACAATCGAAGACGATCAAGAAGTAACAGATTTTTCTGATAATTCTGATACGGAAGACGATGTGAGATATTGCCATACAAATTATAACATAATATTACAATGTTTTGTTTCTTCGAGCTAAACAAATATTTATTTATTACACTAATTTGTAGACACGTTAATGAATAGTTACTCTCGTAGTTTCAGCCCCGAAAACAAAAGAAAAAGCAAAAGAAGGATTTTGATAGCAACTTTAAATTCGTAAATGACATATCTGAATATAATAAGGACACATGGAATGATTTGAGCAAATATATTAAACGAAAAGCGAAAACAAAACTTGATGATAAAATCAAAAAGATTAGGAAAGGATCGGAGAATGAAGTAAGTAACTATGTTATCAATGTAATTTCATGTTTGAGTTTGTTAGGTTAGTTGTTGATTCGTTACTTTTGGAGGTTATCAGTGACAGCTATATATTTTTAAAAGTTGGTTTGAGAAAGCGTTCTGATATTTTAACATTTTATATATATTTTCCTTGCAGAATGAAATCAATGATTCCATTATAGATTCATCCGAAATTAAAATAGAAGACGATGAAATTTCTTTATCGGAAGATGAACTTAAAAAAGGTAATGATTTTATTGTACGATTTTAAATTGAATTGCACGTTAACGTATATTTTGTTGTAGATATATTTAAGACAAAAGAAAGGAAGAATAAAAAGAAAAAGACTGCCTATGAAAATGAGGAAGAAGCCATTAACTTTGAGGAGTATTCGAGTTCAGAACCATACGCAACATTTTACCAAATGAATTTGTCGCGTCCTTTATTGAAGGTACAATCCTATTACATATCAAATTACAGTTTTGTAACATTGCACTTTTTAGTTTTTTCTTATAATTTCTATGTATTCTTGTTAAAGGCCATAACAGCTATGAATTTTGTACACCCAACACCCATTCAAGCTGCTACTATTCCTGTTGCATTAATGGGTCGTGACATATGTGGTTGTGCTGCTACTGGTACTGGTAAAACTGCAGCTTACATGCTACCAACTCTGGAGAGGTTACTGTATAGACCTTTGGATGGTCCTGCTATTTCCCGAGTTCTTGTACTCGTACCAACGAGAGAACTTGGTGTCCAAGTGTATCAAGTTACAAAACAATTATCTCAGTTTACAACAGTTGAAGTAGGATTATCTGTTGGTGGCTTAGATGTGAAAGTTCAAGTGCGTAGTTATACCATAGTACAAATTTAAGTATCTATTAGTATTAAATTTATACATAGCTTCTATCAAATTTTTTACTATGTAATTAGGAAACTGTATTAAGGAAGAACCCAGATATTGTAATAGCTACACCTGGCAGATTAATTGATCATTTAAAAAATACACCCACATTCTCGTTAGACAGTATCGAAGTACTCATTTTAGATGAAGCGGACAGGTAAATTGAAACATATACTTGACTTATAGTTGCTCTGTATTATATTGCAAGTAATTTTATTATCTACTTTTAAGGATGTTAGACGAGTACTTTGCAGAACAAATGAAATATATAGTGCAACAATGCTCTAGAAGTAGACAAACGATTTTATTTTCTGCTACCATGACCGAAGAAGTAAAAGACTTGGCTACCGTGTCTCTTGATAAACCTGTGAAAGTATTTGTAGATAGTAATCAAGATGTTGCCTTTAATTTACGCCAGGAATTTATTCGGTAAGTTAGATCGTAATTGGTGCTCTTGGTGACAATACACTGAAATAGTAAATATTTGTTTAATATAGAATACGAAAAGAAAGGGAAGGAGATCGCGAGGCAATTTTAGCTGCTTTAATTTGCAGAACTTTTCACGATCATGCTATGGTTTTTGTTCAAACAAAGAAACAAGCTCATAGACTTCATATTCTATTAGGATTGTTGGGTGTGAAGGTACATGAAATATAACTTGTTTAATAAATATTCTACATAACCATTAATATATATTCTTAATAAGTTATGTGCCATCCATATTTCGCATCGTAGGTTGGAGAACTTCATGGTAATCTCACACAACCTCAACGTTTAGAAAATTTACGAAAATTTAAAGACGAAGAAATAGATATCTTACTAGCAACAGATGTTGCTGCAAGAGGTTTAGACATAAGTGGTGTTAAAACTGTAATTAATTTCGTTATGCCAGCTACCATGCAACATTATATTCATAGGTATAAAAGCCTAGTTTACGCGTATACTTTTATGCATTTTGTAGAAAATAAATACTCTTAATTTCTCTATCAGAGTTGGTCGAACAGCTAGAGCCGGTCGTGTTGGAGTGTCAGTATCATTGGCTGGTGAACAAGAACGTTCGTTGGTTAAAGAGATTATTAAAAATGCAAAAAATCCAGTAAAAAATCGAATAATACCTCCCGATATAATCGAAAAATATAACAAAAAATTACAATCTCTTGAAGCTGACGTGGAGAACATATTGGAAGAAGAAAGAAATGAAAGAGAATTAGCCAAAATAGAAAATCAAGCAAATCGCGTCGAGAAATTACTTAAAAATGAAAGTGATAAAGGCGAGCAAAGAAGCTGGTTCCAAACTCAAAAGGAAAGGAAAGAAGAAAAGGGTTAGTATTCGAAATATTCGATCATTTCGGTAATTAATTATTCATATACATTGCTTTAATTTACATTGCTTTTAGAGAAACTATCATTAGTAGAAAAACAACCAAAAAATAAAGAGAAGAAAATCAGACATATAGGGCCTCCGAAAATCGGCGAAGAGAAGAAAAAGAAAGTATCAAAGGATCTTAAAAAAGAAACTGCAGAAGACAGAGCAGTGAAAGAATTAGAAAAAATTGCGGCATTTCAAGCAAGATTAGCTAAAAAGAAAAATAAACAAAAGAAAATTCGAACAGTCATGGATGATGATAGATCTTTAGCTAATAGAAAAAGTATATTACAATACAATATTATTTTTAATTTTAATATTCAAGTATTTTTTTTTTCTCTTATGACATCGATTATATTTTAGCGTCGATAAAACGACCGAAGTCTTCGTTTGCTGCCGATTTAACTGATACGAGTAAGAAAGCTGTGAAAAGAATGCGTTACGAGTAAGTATATATTACTTTATTACATATAATAAAATATTACATATTCTAATATGTGGTATACAAGCAATTTTATTATACACATTTTAGAGCAAACACAAAACAAAATAAAAATAAAAGGAAAGGTGCACAGAATTTCAGCATAGGGAAGAAGGATAATAGAAAAGCTTTTAGAAAACGTTAAGATTAATTTTTATATCTGTAACTACCTAAATGTTATTAAATACATACGATTTTACTTAATTCGTTTTATTATAGAACCGTTACAATGCGTCACTTACGTCTCACAGATTGACAGATGAATAGCACTGATTAATTGGTTGGTTTTTTTTTTCATCAGAATATGTATATTTCATAATCTATAACCTGTTTGAAAAAATTGCAGTACTATGCAATGAAATACTATACTATGAATTGAAAAGCTATAAATTACTTAAAAAGAATTAAATAAAATTATGCCAATTACAAGTAGTAACGCTGCACTATTGATATTTAACAAAAAAGAAATTAATAATTTGCATTGTACTGTAATTTTAATGAAGAGGTAATAGGTATGTGTTAAATTCTATAATGTTTAGATAATAAGATCAAACATTCGTCGCCATTCACATTCACATTCACAATTCCCATTCGTATTTAGGTTTAATACATTTTAATTCTTACCGCTAATAATTCTAATGTTGAAAAAGGAAATTTTATAAAACCTAGGCCCATTTTAAATTACTTAAGAATTTCATTCATATTTGTATCCACTTTTCTAACCCCCGTAAGAGCAAAAAGTTAACAATTGAATTTGTAT